ATAAGGTCTGTACGCTGTATGGAGTGCAGGTGATTTCATATTATTGTCCACAAACACGCAGACACAACAAGGCAACCAACTCCTCCCCTCCCTTCTCCTCATCCCCTTCCTCCCTCCAACCTTCTCCCAGCTAAGACCCCGTTCACATTGAGCGATTTATCGCACGGTAATTCCCGCGATATCGCGGCAAATTACCGCGCGATATCGCGCTCCAATGCAATCCAATGGGGCAAAGGGTCCTGCTGTAGCGGGTCGTGTGTCGCTACAGCAGGACCCTTTTTTGAGCGGATTTAGCCGCGATTCAAGCTTGCTCAATGCAAGCTTGAACGCGACATCGCGCGGCAAATATCGCGATGTCGCGCAATATGCAAATCGCGCAACAAACGCGCGATTTGCATATCGCGCAGTGGGAACGGGGCCTAATAGATGGACGGCTGCTAGAGACTGCTCTGTTCCTTGTCATCTTGTACTGGACAGGAAGTTTAGGGAAGCTGAGCTGAGAGAGTTGGAGCTGTTCAGAAACATGATGATTATAAATGCTTGAGAAGAAATGTAAAGAAATAGTTTGCTGGGCAATGCATATTTGTTTGATCTGGATTCATTATTTAAAAAAAGTTTAAAAGTTTAATACTACTTTCATTATTATTTGGCACATCCAAAAAAAGCAGGTACTTTGGATCACAGACCATAGTTTATCTGGCCCAGTGTGTGCTGTATGTGGCCCCTAGTATCCATGGTTACAGATATCTTCTAACTTCCTCTAGTGTTCCGTCATTGTTTCATTGTATCTCTTGTTAGTGAGATGCATTTATTTCCTGTGATCCTTAGCGCCATCTAGGGGCAATATTAAGGTATTTCCCCCATTCACGGCTGACCTTAATATTAGAAGAACATTCAACCAGAAGAGAAAATACTCTTAAAATATTCGATTGTGCCCCATTCACACAACAGCTGGTTCATTCACACAGGATTAATGTACATGGCGTTTGAATTTTTTGTATAAATAGACCATCATGTGTGCAGGACAAGAGAAGTGATACCGTGCAGAGTCCATACATAGAGAATAAGGACAGATACTTAGAATTACACATAGCATACAGGACAAGAGAAGTGATACCGTGCAGAGTCCATACATAGAGAATAAGGACAGATACTTAGAATTACACATAGCATACAGGACAAGAGAAGTGATACCGTGCAGAGTCCATACATAGAGAATGAGGACAGATACTGAGAATTACACATAGCATACAGGACAAGAGAAGTGATACTGTGCAGAGTCCATACATAGAGAATGAGGACAGACACTGAGAATTACACATAACATTCAGGACAAGAGAAGTGATACTGTGCAGAGTCCATACATAGAGAATAAGGACAGATACCGAGAATTACGCATAGCATACAGGACAAGAGAAGTGATACTGTGCAGAGTCCATACATAGAGAATAAGGACAGATACCGAGAATTACGCATAGCATACAGGACAAGAGAAGTGATACTGTGCAGAGTCCATACATAGAGAATAATGGCAGATACTGAGAATTACACACGGCATACAGGACAAGATAAGTGATACTGTGCAGAGTCCATACATAGAGAATAAGGGCAGATACTGAGAATTACACATAACATACAGGACAAGATAAGTGATACTGTGCAGAGTCCATACATAGAGAATAAGGGCAGATACTGAGAATTACACATAACATACAGGACAAGAGAAGTGATACCGCGCAGAGTCCATACATAGAGAATATGGGCAGATACTGAGAATTACACCCAGAGTACAGGACAAGAGAAGTGATACTGTGCAGAGTCCATATATAGAGAATAAGGACAGATACTGAGAATTACACCCAGCGTACAGGACAAGAGAAGTGATACTTTGCAGAGTCCATACATAGAGAATGAGGACAGATACTGAGAATTACACCCAGAGTACAGGACAAGAGAAGTGATACTGTGCAGAGTCCATATATAGAGAATAAGGACAGATACTGAGAATTACACCCAGCGTACAGGACAAGAGAAGTGATAATGTGCAGAGTCCATACATAGAGAATAAGGACAGATACTGAGAATTACACCCAGAGTACAGGACAAGAAAAGTTATACTGTGCATTGTAGAGCCGGCCGCAATGCGAGGTAGTGTGTTTTGGCCAGAATCGGACCGGAACGCACTGCAACTGGTGTGAATGGGCCCTAAAAACACACAAGCAAAACAAATGGCAAACACACTCATCAACTCATAACCAGCTTTAAGGCAAGGTGCACATGGAAGGGCTTTATACAGTACAACAGCAAAATGTTTCCCAGCACACTCACCAGCCAGCATGCAAAAAAACCTGTCTAACCGCTAAGGTTAAAAACAGAGGTCTTAGATACACGTCTTCTGCAGAATATGTGAAATTAAGGAGTACAAACAGGACTCCCTGGATTCTAGAATGAGCTGCCATGGCTGGAAACTCACCCTGAAAAATGTCCTGCAGTCATTGCTGGGCGCATGTAGACAGGAAGTGGCTGCAAAGAGGCTGCAAGCGTTCAACAACACTGAGATACAACAAAGGATGAACAAAAAGTAAAAAGACAATTTTATCTTCAAAGAAGGCAATTATTTATGATACAATGGAGGTGATTCAATGTAGCAGTTGTGACAAATTTATGGCATTATGGCTGTTTTGGAAAGTCTTGCGCCAGGTAGAGCTATCCAGGTGCTTCTTATTAGCGACACTTTTACATTATGTGACAATGGCCGCGACAATTTCACAAATACCACCATTTTAGAAATAAGGAAACTGGCTGTAAAGAAGACTTTTGTCGTCTTGGTGTAATTTGTATCAATAAAAGTGCGCCACCCCACCTCACCTACATGGCCCTCCTTACCATCTTGTCTTAAATTGTATTGTGATTGTAATGTCTTCCTTATATTGTAAAGCGCTGCGCAGACTGTTGGCGCTATATAAATCCTGTATAATAATAATGGCTGGTTGATAGGACACTGGGGAAACTGGTATCCTAGCAACCAATGACACTGTATGACAAGGCTGCCAATGTTCTAGCAACCAATGCTGCAAGGGTGCCAGCGTCCTGCACAGCCAATAATGCTTGGCTGCCCAATGCCCTTGGTTGCTAGGATGCTGTGCCACAGTGTTCTTGGTTGTTAGGATGCTGTTGCCACAGCGTTTTTGGTTGCTAGAATGCTGTTGCCACAGCATCCTTGGTCGCTAGGATGCTGTTTCCACAGTCTCCTTGGTTGCTAGAACACAGTTGCCACAGTGTTCTTGGTTGCAGGGATGCTATTGGCACAGTGTTCTTGGTTGCTAAGATCCTGTTAGCACAGTGTTCTTGGTTGCTAGGATGCTGTTGGCACACTGTTTTTGGTTGTTAGGAGGCAATTGGCACAGTGTCATTGGTTGCTAGGACACTGGTTCAACAGTATTCTTGGTTACTAGGATGCTGTTGGCTTAGTGTGCTTGGTTGCTAAGATGCTGTTAGCACAGTGTCCTTGGTTGCTAGGATGCTGTTGGCACAGTGTCCTTGGTTGCTAGGATGCTGTTGGCACAGTGTCCTTGGTTGCTAGGATGCTGTTTCCACAGTGTTCGTGGTCGCTAGGACACTGGCAGCCATTCAGCACCATAACAACCAATGATGCCGTGAGGCCCAAGGGCTGAACATGCACTGAGGATGAAGTGCCAGTATGGATACTCTGGCCTCAATGTCGGCCTCAATATGAGAAATTCATGAACTTGTTTCCAGAAAAGTCACAACTCTGCCGCAGGCACCGGCATTTGTCATGTGCAGGCACAACAGAGACAGTGCTGGAGACACACTTCCAGGAAGAGTATTTTAGCAAACCAGGGGGCTGATTTAAAAAGGAGAGAAGATGTCGCTGTCTGCTCTCCAACAGGCTCATCGGCTTTATGCTATACTGCGCCCGTGTGGTGCCGCAGTGTTCTATAGAGCGCTCTCTGCATGACACTGCACACAGCACTCTGTGATTGGAGAGGCTGGTCACATGACTTTGACAGGTCATGAGATGCACTCTCCCCCTTATTAATTTAAAGGGGGCTTCTCCGGCTCCAGAGTGCTGAAGTAAGTATAGTGGGAGACACATTTAAGGCTTAATCACACAGCCCACATGCTAAAACCCTGTGCCATGGTGTACATTGTGTAAAGCGGTGCGGTGTTGTTACAATGTATCAGACTCATGTTTACTTTTCTTTTTAGCTTTACTGACATGTCACAAAATGACACTCCATTCAATTCTATGGGTGTCACATTGTTTACTTCCTGCAGCCCCAAAATGGTAGATCTGTACAGGCCCAGGCCTGGGATTAGGGATGTGCTTTGGCTTTGTGCGAACCGAGATGGTGGAAGACTGTGATTGACACACCCACTCCTGGCTCAATCAGCTGCGGCCGGGGCGTTCCCTTGCACCCCTTCGTTACATGTAGCTGCTGGGAATGTACTGGCTGCAGCTGATTGGGTCAGGAAGCGGTTTGTCATTCAATCAGCTGTGGCCGGGGCCTTCCCTGCCCCTCTGTTACATGTAGCAGCAAGGCGGGGAATGTTCTGGCCGCAGCTGGTTGGGTCGGGAAGGGGAGTGTCATTGAGTTTGGGGCACACACAATTCACCAAGCTGGGAATGTAAACAATACAGGAGAACGGACGCACTGATCACGGTTGCAATGCTCTGCAGGCTTTAATGCAAACATTTAATAAATGCACTTTTTTTAATTAATTTGTTTACATTTTGGCAAAGGGTTGACTGTCGCTTTAACAGACCAGAAGGTTGAATGAGAAGTTCATTATTCACACTTTCATTATAATAGGAAGCAGAGGCCATCACTGGGGACATTTCCAACACCGTGTCTGTCCCTGGAAGTCAGGACTCAGCACACAATGACTGAAGCAGTGTCAGACCAGTGATGACTCTGCACGGTGACCGGTTTACACAGTCACTGCACAGGCTGGGAAAGTCGCTCCGTGTGACGTCATCAGCGCGTCCCGCGGACGTCAGTTCGGCGACGTTATCTCCCGTAGACCGGCCGTCGTAGCGGACTGAGCTCCTGCCAGGGCTGCAGAGAAAGCCGGAGGAGAGAGGTAACAATGAAGGGAGGCCGGGGAGGAGAAGGGAGCCATGGCCGGCCACACTGCAGCCTGGTCGTGTGACTGTACCGTGCCCAGCCTGGAGTGTGTATGTACACCATCGTACTGCGTGCCGGCATATGTCTGCCCCACTGCTGTGTGATCCCACTGGCACCTCACTGGCAGGATTCAGGACATGGCGAGCTAGCAGCCCTGTGGCTGGCTACAGGATGGCAGTGCTAATTAAATACTCCTCTAGTTCCATGAATTGCCCCCATTGCTTGCCAGATGAGCGAGCCATTGCTCTCTGGATGATGAAAATATGGCTGATTGTCACCCCTCCTGGTGAGTGGACAAGACGTGGAACCTGGTCAGTATTCTGCATAGCTATCCTGATGCCAAGGATGGGATTGCTAAATTGACATGAGTCATAGGTGCAATTCACAAAGATTTAACACACGGAGCAGGATCAGTGTTCTCAGACATGTGGCTGCAAAATTCAAATCTCGCTGGACGCATCTGAAAATGGGCTCCTCCTGTGTACACGTGAGGCCGTGGGCTCCTCCTGTGTACACGTGAGGCCGTGGGCTCCTCCTGTGTACACGTGAGGCCGTGGGCTCCTCCTGTGTACACGTGAGGCCGTGGGCTCCTCCTGTGTACACGTGAGGCCGTGGCCTCCTCCTGTGTACACGTGAGGCCGTGGACGCTGTACATGTGGTGATGTGGGCTCATGCTATATATATTGCATACCCCATATATACGTAGGTTCAACCTATGTACACTGTACGCGCAGAGACGTGTGCTCAACCGATGTACCCTGTACGCGCAGAGACGTGTGCTCAACCGATGTACCCTGTACGCGCAGAGACGTGTGCTCAACCGATGTACCCTGTACGCGCAGGGATGTGGGCTCATTCTATAAGACATATATTGGTCTAGTCTACTGAGAGCTTTTCATGGGGCTCTATTGCAGATGCACAATCAGCGGAGGGACTTCACCGTTGGCTGTAAATAAACATGGGAGTTCCCAGTTTCCTCGGTAAGTATTCATCTGCGACGGGAGAGGGTGAGCTCTGTGAAGTCAGCGGAGGGGACAGAAAAAATGTTTTTGCATATATATGAGGCTAGCAAGCAGTAGATATATGCAAAAAGTTTTTTTAAAACGCTGTAATAGCGGTTTAAACTTACCCCGTCTTCCCCGCGCGCTCCCATCCGAAAATTCGAAACCGCTCGGGCGGCCGCAAAGGATCTTGGGGCGGGCGCATGCGCAGTTCGGATTTTCGGACGGGAGACTAGGAGAGACGCAAGGTAAGTCTATGGACGCGTGCACCCGCATGCAGACACAGTGGGACAGGAAGTGCCAGCAAGTACAGAGGAGTCAGCACTGGATCGGAGAGCCGCCGCAGCGCTGGAGAGAAGGCTGCAAACATCAGGAAAGAAGAAGATCGGATTAGGAGACATCATTTAAGGTAAGTGCTTTAATTCACATTGGGGGAGGGGGAAAAAATGTCACTTTAAATAATGATATTTTACACCTGCCTTCAGATTGATCTCCCGGGTTTTAGCTGTAACAGCAGCCTATCACGCTGTATGTGCGGGTGTGAGACGTTCACCATTTTCAAATCTGTCATTCGGTATACATGGCGGCTTCCTGTAGATCATCATCGGGCTGTGTAAGAAGTGACGGGATATGCAGAAATGTTTCTTGTTGTCACACTCACAATAACTGCTCTGTTGTTCTTTTTGTTTTTTCCAGAGTCTTGAGTGTGTTTCAGTATTCATCATCTATCTGACATCAATATGTCTGTGAAAAAAAAGAGAAAATCCACTGCAGAGGAAGTGAATGTGAAGAAATGTAGAATTACAAGGTATCAATGCCCTGTGATTATAATGAGTGCATTATGTTCAGAATTCCAGTAATCCGAATGGGTAACATATTTTTCAGTGGCATCTGCTGGGAGCTCGGTTCCCCTTGATATAAGCACACCTCCAGAACTACATCTCCCAAGAACCTTTTCCCCTATACCATTGCTTGTGGGCAAGGTCTTGGGAGTCAAGGCAGTAGCATTGTTTTGCTGCTCAAGAAATCCATATATGCACATGGAGAGGAGCAGTATGGGGTGGGTAATGAGCAAAGTTCTGTAGTCTAGCAGGCGTGGCTGACAACGCTGGCTGGGATTTTAGTGCAGCAAAGGCAACGTGTTGCCAGCTTCAACAAAACGTTAAGAGCACAATCACTTGTTAATAGAATACTGGAGGAAGTAACATACTGATTATTGGATTTGTGGCAAATCAACAGGTTATTATTCTGTGCTTGCTATGTTTTTAAAGGTATAAAATATGAGGAACAGTGAATGCATTGGAGAGAGGTACTGCATATGTATCATTTTATTTTGCCATGACAACATTTACATTAATTGTTTCACTGCGTTGTCTTTAGAGCTGCAGCTAACTATTATTTTCAAAATCGATTAGTTAGCCGATTATTGTGTTTAATCGGATAAAAAAATAAAATACATTTTAAAAAATGGCTCCAGTGATGGGACTACTAGTTTGTATTCAGATTGTAGTCCATCACAGGAGCAAGCTTGGAGCGGTGGAAGTAAAAAAAAAAAAAAAAGTGTGGTGTGCAATATAGTGAAATGGAAAGTATAAAATTATACAGCAATGAATGCAGAAATAACACCGGCTATAGAGGACTACAAATCCCAGCAATAATACATTATACAGAACAATGCAGAATACCACCAGCTATAGGAGTACACCAGCTAAAGGAGTACAACAAATCCCAGCAATAGTACATTATAGCTGGCGGTATTCTGCATTGCGCTGTATAATGTACTATTACTGGGTTTTGTAGTCCTCTATAGCTAGTGGTATTCAGCATTGCACCATATAATGTATCATTGCTCGGATTTGTTGTACTCCTCTATAGACGGTGGAGCCGTGAACAGGGCCAATTAATCGGAAGCCAATTAATCGATGATTGAAAAAGTTGACAACTTTTTCAATCATTGATTTAGTTGTAGCCCTAGTTGTCTTTCATGCCCAGCTTAGGTTGGCACAATAATTGATTTTGGCAGGCACAAAGTTGCGTTCTCATGCTTTTTTTTTTTTTTGACCCATGCTTTTTTTAGGGCACATTTTGGTGGCATTGTTTTCCAACATTTGGTGTTTGAAGCACACATCAAGCACAATCCTAAAGATTTCAATTCTGTAGGCTTGTATAAACATATTATTATTTTAATACTGTAGTTGCATAACAATTACAGCATTAAACACTTGAATACTGCCATAATTGCATAGATGAATACTTTAATTCTGAATATTGTGAATATGAATATTTCATAAATATTTTAATACTGTAATTGCATAACCATTACAGCATTAAAAACATGAATACTGCCACATTAAGACTGCTGCAGAATCTAGAGTGCTAATTTCGTCAAAGCCTCCAGCCTGAACTGTCATATCTGACATAATGTTTATGATTTGGGAATCATGGGAATTGCTCTAATTGTGAATGTCGGTTGGACCTTAAGTGACAACTGGGGTTTAAATATATCAATAAATAATCTGCGCTATGGTCGTATAACTTAATCTAAGATGGTTGTGTTACTGCTGCAGTGGTAACAAAGTGTCAAAAGATATGTATGCAAAAATACCCTGCGCTGGCAAATTGTTCAGTGATAAATGTTATCAAAACCTTTTAATACAAATATAATAAATATCCAACGTGTATAAAAATGAAATATGTCAGTCCAATTGGTGTATAACAAAGTGAATTCTCTCTGATAAAGTTTATGCATCTTCCATCAAAACTATCCACTACACTCGATGATAACTCCGGACTTCCTTCAGATTTTCTTAAGCGCACAACATTTCATATAGATACGAGATAATTAGTATGTTACTTCCCCCCGTATTCTATTAACAAAATGAACACTCGCTTGTTAATGGAATACTGGAGGAAGTAACATACTAATTATCTTGTATCTCTATGAAATAAGTAGTAGTTAAGAAAATCTGAAGGAAGTCCTCGAGTTGTCATCGAGTGAAGTGGATAGTTTTGATGGAAGATGCACATAAACTTTATTAGAGCGAATTCACTTTGTTATGCACCAATTTAGGGCTGCAGCTAACGATTATTTTCATAACACACCCAAAAAAGAAAATAGTTTTCTATTTTTAATTTAACTTTTATTTTTTTTGTATTTTAATTTTTTTTTTTACTTTTTAAATTTTGTAGTCTCTTTTTTTAATTTTAGTTTAACTATCTTTTTAAAAAAAATTTTTTATTAAGAGAGCAGCGGCTGCAACTAATCTAAAAGCAACTAATTGATGATGAATCATTGCCAACAATTCTCATCGATTATAATCGATTTAGTTGTTGCAGCCCTACACAAATTGGACTGGCATATTTTATTTTTTATACATGTTGGATATTTCTTATATTTAAAGGTTTTGATAACATTTATCACTGAACAATTTACCAGCGCAGGGTATTTTTGCATACATAACTGGGATTAAAAGCCACCGGATATACAAAGTGTCTCATTGTAGCTCTCACAGGGCGGACTTTTATTAACGTATCCACAGATACAGATTGTGGGTGAGAAGGGGTTACCGGTGTAGCTTGGATGACCGTTCTGGGGCTGAATGTCATTTGCTTTGCCTTGCATTTCTTTGGACATTTCTATTTGGAGGGATTCGGATTGCCAGCTGCGCAGGTGGAACACGGCCTTTTGCTGCATTTTGTGTTTGTATGCATTGGAGTAGCGCTGCATCAAAAAGCATTCATCATCAACCCCCTTAGAGTACATTCTGCTGTGTGAATATCAGATCCATTAAAAAGCCAGCTACACTTGCTGAAATGTAGGAAAGAAAGCAGAATGGACAGTATCCGCAGGACACCGCTTATCAACCCTTTGAAAACTCCTTAGAATGCTTTGTTTATTACATAGCTCTAGTTTGGGAGCTCTTCTTATTGGTCATATACTTTTAATGTTTTTTGTTTTGTTTTTTCCTCCCCACAGTTATTGCCGGACACAAACAGCCAGTAGAATAATAAATGAAGACCTGTTTTCTAGCAAAAAGTGCCTGGCTTGGTTTTACGAGTATGCAGGTGAGTGTTCAACACATTAAAGGAGAACTATGAGGTGAGTGCTTTTCACTCACCTCATAGTTCTAGCCGACCTGTGACATTGAGACTGTCACAGGTCGGCTCAGTAGATCTTAGGAGAACTATGGGGAAAAGCCCTGACCCCATAGTTCTCTCCTTTAAGTCCTATTTACTGCTTAGAGTCTTTTTTTTTGGTGTTCTGCTTGGAACCACAAAAGAAGAATCCAGTTGCTGTGGCCACATTAACATTTTCAGGTTTGATGATGCCCCTTGCATAGTGAATGTACTCTTTTGTTTTTATTGACGCATCTTGTTACAGTGAAAACATCTTGCATTATCCTAAGCTTCCTTTACTATAATTTTCAATATGGGGCCCCTTTGAATATCACTTAAGTACCAATTATGAATCTGTAGTATTACCTATAGTATCAGAGTGCTGCTCCCTATCTGTTGCTTGTTTGTGTACAAGAGAGGAAGTTTAAAAAAAAAAAAAGTTAGTTTTCAGCGAGAACGGGTAAATATAAATGAATGAGCCAGTAGATGGTGATCTGAGACCATGGCTTGTGATATTGGTACAATCAGAGGGCATTAAGGGGATATAATGTCTTTTTTTGTGTTATTCTGAATTGCTAGAAAGTTTTTTTTGTTTTTGTTTTTTTTGTCTCGATTTCATTTAACTTCAGGATTGCCATTGTGTGATAAATCAGTGGTGGGTGCGCAGTTATGTGTAGGAAGCTTTGTTAAAGAGGAATTCTTTCTCATTCATTCAGGGATACAAAAAAGTTCTAAACCTTTGGGTTATGCTGCCAACTATAGAAGAATTGGACACTGGCAAACCAAAGAACAGTAGGCCAACCAGGTTGAATGACTTCTCTTCAGCTCTGCTGTTATAAAGCCTAACTCTCCTCTATGGAGCTCCTGGAGGTATCTCCTCCATTTTGCAACTATCTAGTTCAGTAGCCCTCAGCCTGGCTTTTGGGCTCTATTGCTCCCGACCCATCTGATAAAAGGTGGCTGTGGATTGCTTTCCAGGTACAGAGCCAATGGCATTGCCTCAACGCTTGCTCTGTCTCTGTCGGTCAGTTCGAGCGCTGGGAGCTCCCTGAGTCATTGTGTTGATTGCAAGGTGCCAGTTTTTTTTCCCCCCTTTACTCACTGTTTTTTTGCCATGGAAGGGATTAACGCTGTGGGACTGAGCCCTGACATCATCAGGGATGTAGTATCTCTCACACTCTGGGTTTTATCACTGTGGCCAAAACATGCTGATATTAGATATGGTGGGGGCAGTCCCACTGCTTGCAGCCTGCCTACTGATATGTCCATTCTGGAGTCGTGTTCCTCTGATGTTGGTGTACCCTGTCTTTGGAGTCCTTCTTGGCTCCATAGGGTGTGGCTGGGTTCTCTGCCCTCCTGGCTGAGGTTTTTACCATGGTCATGCAAGGCTGTGACCCAAATTACCCAGTTGTTTGCTGACTCGGATCGCAGAGGCCACAAGTTTGCCAAGTTTGCTACGGCGCTCTCTATAGCACATTTTGTATCTGATTCACTTGTCTTAGGCCTTGTTCACACCAAGCGCAGAGCAGATCTACTCAGGCTTCTGCACACGCAGTGCAGTGGGTTGTGTCACGTTTTCTGCCGCGTTTTTGATGCATTCCGGGCTGTTTTTGGTTAAAAAAAAAAAACTTTTTTTTTTTTAAGTTTAACATGGGCTTTCAGTGCGTTCCAGGCATTTGCATGCGTTTTTTATGCGTTTGCATGCGTTCCAGAGCAGGTAAAATAGGGCTTGCTGCAGTTTTTTCACCTGCTCTGGAACCGCACGCTGCAATGTGAACTGGAGCAAAAAATACCATTGGAATACATTGGACGCAGTTTTGATCCGGTCTGCAACTGCTCTGCACCTGCTCCGCACTTGGTGTGAACAAGGCCTTAGGTTCTAAACCACCAGCCACAGAGACTCTGTGACTCCTCAGGGGTAAGCTCATCAGTCAAGGACTTGAGCAACTAAAATTCAAACTGTTTACTACTATTACCTCCAAGTTAAAGGTGACCTTTTCTGCTCTTATTGATGCAGAAGCAGCTAGAAGATCAGCCTGTTGAATGGACCTGTGCTATTTCACTGTAGTTTTAACTTTTTGGGGTACAAATGTTTTCCCTTTGCTCCTGCTTTTCAAATGTTTCTCTATGGCGATTGAAAAAGTTGTTTGCTCCCCCTAAGTGCATGCTTTTGTATTTTTTTTGTAAGGGTTTTGTTCAAAAGCGGTCTGTTCCCACTGGATCAGGCCATGTCCCGCCTTAGCAAGGAGATCACCATACTGATGGAGTTTGTCTCCTGTCTTTAAGGATACAACCATTAAGGGGTTGAGAACCCTTTCCGGAGCTCTTTTCTTGTTGTCAGGTCCCGTCCCGCACCCTATTCTGACTGTGACCTTACTTTATCAAACCATGGCAGTCTGATTGAAATCCCTTTAAAATAGGATTTAACCACTGCTGTGGGTGATCCCTTGCTTATTGAATGCCTTGAGGAATCAGGAACCTGGCTTGAGTCAGGGAAATCTTTTGCAGGGGACTTCATGTCCTGATAAACATCTTGGATCTTCTGTAATTTTAGCTGCCTCTGATTATTGGACCATCCTTTTTGGAGGGTTATCTGATCCAGATCCAGTCGGATAATAGCACAGTGGTGGCAAATCTTAACCATTAGGGAGGAACTAGAAGTCTCAAGGTGGCAAGTGGATAGCTGATCCTGTCCTGAGCAGAACTATACATTCCAACTTTGTTCACCGTATGCATTCCAGGCATAGACATTTTGCATGTAGAGTTCCTCAGTCAACAGCACCTGGACCTAGGAGAGTTGTCCCTATACCCAGAGGTGTTCCAGGACCTGTGTCACAGATGTGGACCAGCTGACTTCCAGGTTCAACAGCTAACTAGACAGCTTTGTATCCAGGTACAAGCTTCCCTGGTGGCAGCAGTGGATGTTCAGGTGGTGAACAAAGAGAACCTGACATTCTGAACTTTGGAGTGCTGTTGAGTACTTCGATTTTATTTATGGATTGATGTGCGGCACCATCCGTATTCACTATTGCACCCTCCCATTACGAGTTGGGATTGAATTTTGGTTAGGAGTGCGATGGGATACGGACACTTTTTATCTGTGGGACTAATCTTCTTTTCTTGCTGCTGGGTCTGGGTCAGCATCTCGCTGCCTATCCTATAAAGGGTCTGAATTTTTCCCTTTCCATGTTGTAGAGACAGTTGGCATATCACTCCTTGATTATTACCTTTTGTGCAGGGGATCTCTAGGTGGCCGACCAAACAATCATTTCATTTGAGGCCAAATCTGTGAGGGCCTCAAGCTTTTCGACATCGGGAAACTGTTTCCCAGATTTATATGGCTGCCACCTTGTCTTCTGTGCACACATTCTCTAAGTTCTACCAGTCCGATGGTTGACTTCAGGTGCAAGATCCTTTCGGTAGCACCTTGAGCTGCAGGCAGTCTCCAGTCCTCTGTTAATGATTGCTTGCTAGGTTTCCATCCCTCAGTTGAACTGCTTTTAAATGTCCAGAATTTTTAAGGCTTCCTGTGCCGCTCAATGGGTGAGAAAGTAGGATTTTTGTCCTACCCATAAAATCCTTTTCCTTGGAGTCAATTGAGGGACACAGGTCCAACCCCTCTGTGTTTATGATCATGCTGTCGCTACTGCTTTGCTACATAATTGAGGCATGTGAGAGTAGGAGGAGTTATCCTCAACTGGCCTACAATTTTGGTATTTTTTTGGTTTGCCATTGTGCAATACACCTGTAGGCAGCAGCATAATGGGAAGGTTTAAAACTGATGAAATACAAAGATCCTATTTGTGCATTAGAAGCATGGACGGCAAACTTCCAGAGGTGCCTGCACAATTACAGGGAGCTTACTGAAGTACCCCAATATTTATAACTATCCATTGTTCAAGAAGTAACTTCAATTCCTAAAGTTGGGTTCTGAGACTCCTCCTCCCACTCCCTGCATTGTACTGTTGGCCTGTAAAGACCACAATTTACAGTTATGGACCAAATGTGAAGCATGGAAGGGAATGGGTGAGAGCTTGACTTTAAAAACTGAAGACTCCATTTGGGTTTCAAGACTACAAGGAATCTTGAAAGCTTCCCGGTGATATTTATTTCTAAGAAAGGGAGTGCAGGTTAAATTTTTTTTTCTGTCCATCCATCTGTCTCTCCATCTTCAATGTCTCAAATCCCCATTATTTGGTCCACACTTAACCTTCCTTACTTTGGTGCAGTTTGTAGTCTGGAAAGACTCTTGCAGTCACTGAGGTTTTGGTCTGAAGCAGAGATTGCGGTAGCTGGGTTGGAGGTAAATAATTTATTACATGGCATACTAGAAAGTTTAAGCATTCTTATCAGTACAATACAATGATGCCAGGCTGAAGTCGACAGGCAGTGGTAAAGACTGGCTCTTTGCTCTAGATTTTCTAGAACATGAGAGGGCATATTTTAATGCAGTTTAAAATGGTGAATAGGCAATGGTATTACTGTCAGTGGAGGAGAGAGGATTCAGATGAATCTTTCACTCAGCCTCTCTTTTTGTATGTTCTAGATTCTTGCTGTGAGCTATTTCCTGACTGAATACCTAAACTTTGATAATCTTTAGGAAAATGTTTTGGCTTTGTATAAAACTCTTGTTTCATTTAACAGGTCCAGATGAAATTGTTGGGCCAGAAGCAATGGAAAAATTCTGTGAAGACATAGGCGTAGAACCAGAAAATGTAAGAAATATGTTTTTACTTTGTTTTATTTGACTTTATTTATCCGGATGTAGATTGTGTGCTTCCAGCTATTTGCCCGTCTCCAGGGGCAAGATACTGTAATATCCTGTGTTTAATAGTGTGATTTATTATGAGTAGCTGCCATGGTCATTTGTTTTTTCTATTCTTCTCCTTAAGCTGACCATACATGTTACAATCTGTACAAATAACTATGCATGTCTGTGTGAGGGACTACCTGATTGGATATTTATTGAATGGGTTGATTTTATATAGGCGCTCCAATTACATATACTATAAGGTTTGTGGACACCTGACCATCATACTTGCCTATATGGACCGAGCACCTCTCCAAATGTTTTTGTTCAGGTGATTCCAGTGGATTGTACAGTTAAAGCTACATAACATTTTAGTCTACTTTTCAATGCGGGAGCATACGCGTGCTCGCACATGATCCTGCATCGCATGAGATCGCATGTTGCACTGTTAGGTGCGCTGCCTTGTCATTATTTCTTAAATGCAGCATACCGTGCATTGCATCACAACACAACGTATGGTAACCTATTGCTGTGCGATTTGCATGCACTTCTGACTTCAATCCTACTGAACACCTGAGTTAGAACATGAGTCGGGTCTTTTGGTCCAACATCAGTGCTTGTCCTCACAAATAGTCTTTTGGCTGAATGTGTACAAAGTTCCACAGACACTCAAAAACCTGGTGGCAAACCTTTCCAGAAGAGTGGAGACTTTTATAGGGAGGTGGGGGCAGTGGCGTATCTAGGGTATATAATCATCATGTCTTCTCATGCTTGAGGAGAACTTCCCTTTGCAGCTGAGTGCCTCTTCCTGTAGTGCTGGCTCTGGTTGTGAACCTATACACAGACACCATGTATCCATTCCAGAGACAAGGCAGTCTGCTGCAAAACAGAAGTTCTGCCCAGCATGAGAACAGATACAGATTTAAAAGGAAGAGCAGCAAGGAGAAGAGAAACAACCATGGATTACAGTAAGGCGCACATTACAGTATTGGTTTATGTTAAAAAATCTGAGGGTTTAATGTCACTTTAAGCTGTGCCTCATTCAGACCTCCCATCAGCAGAGACCTGCCGTGTCAGCTGTCACAGGTAAACAAAGGGTCAAGTTACACTACTTACTACTTTTGCCCGGCTGCGAGAGAAAGTGATAATTGTAGACATTCATATGCCCCAGCTGCTTGTTTACAAGTGACAGCAGCGATTGCAATTCAAGGGGGGTCTGCACAGCTTAAGAGGCCATTCACACATCTAGTGGTGACTTGTGTTGTACCACATGGGATTAATGCTGATCACCGCAAGGACATATAGAAAACAATTGTTTTCTATATGTCCCATTCACACCACAACGTGGGTGTGATGGGCGGTGCAAACATGCTGCATTTTATGCCACAGGTCACATGACAGCAGCTCATCACATCCGCTGCCGTGCGGGGACATGATTGGAGTGTATACACTGAACGCTTTGTGTATTGGTATGTGTGTGTCTGGGTGTCCCAAAACTGGTGTCAGATGCTTGGCCAACCACGTAATTTGAGTGTTTGCCATAAGCACTAGGGATGTTCAGATACCAGTGCCGATACATTGGCATTTTCACGAGAACTAACAGGGTTGCAAAGGTTCAAGCTGGGAATGAGTGCTCCACCATTGTCCTGATTACATACATATATATATATACAAAAACGCAGTATTGCAGTGTGCAATGATACCTTTTCTTATTGGACTAACAATATATAAAAGATAAGCTTTCAAGAGTGAACATCTCCTTCAGGTCAGAAGCAATACCTATTGCTTCAGACCTGAAGAAGAGAGGTTCACTCTCGAAAGCTTATATCGATAGATATATCCGTATGCTCCTTAACCCCTTCATGACTGAGCTTGTTTTTCATTTCTGTTCGTAAATGACTGACGCACTTTTGAAATTTTTGCTGTGTGATTTCTTCCACGTCAGTAATATACTTTCTTACAAAGTGCACCCACACATATGATATATTGTTTTTTAGAGGACAGATAGGTACACATATGTGATATAAATATATAGCCCTAACGCCTCACTTAGGACAAATAAAATATTTTCAAAAAAGAGGAAAAAAACTTAAAACGCTTTTTCCCCAGTTTTTACTGGGGAGTATTTTTTACAAAAACAGCACAGCTAAAAAAAAAAATACCATAAATACATTCATTTATTTGGAAAAAACTCACATCCCTAGGATATTAGAAATGTTTCTGTACTACTAATATTAACCCCTTAGGGTGAAAAACAAATCTAATTTTTATTAATAATAATAATTAAGGGGTTGATTTTTATATAAATATAAATGTTAGTATAAAAATATATCATTTTAATTTGTTACATTTATTTTTATTTTTATTTTTTTACCCTTTTTTTTTTTTTTACTTTTTTTTTAAAACTTCAGGATCAGATGTCACTAAAGGTTTTCTGATCGTTACAAGAAGGATCAGGAATAGATACATTATGTTTCTATTCTTGAAAGTAAAAAAAAATCCGGTATAGGATTGGGATTCCCCCATCTAAACCAGCTGTCAGAGTGACGGCAAGAGCTGCACATGTGGCTCTGCTCTCACTCTCAGACACCCGATTCCTGAAGGGGATCGGGTGTCTGAAAAAGGTTAACTCCTTCATTAATGGATGCCTCTATAAAGAGGCATCCATTAATGAATGGTAACCGCTGATTCTCAGCGGTTACCGGCCTTGTAAAGCAGCAAATAACTCGTCCCGTACAGTGTACGTGACGAGCCATTTGGGCACTTTGTGGCGGGACGTACAGTGTACGTCTCCTGTCACGAAGGGGTTAAAAATGACAGCTGCCTCCTAACTTGAGTTTTTCTCTAGTCTAGTCTTGGAGAAGTATCTGTACTGTACTTGGTATCTGAACATCCCTAATAGGCTCTATTTACCATAGATACGCCCCTGGCTGGGAGCAGTGACTGTTTTGGAAAGACCCTTGCACTACATAATTATGCTTTTATCTAAAGTATATTGTACAATGAGATTTTTGTGTACGGCAAGTCTAAATGTTCTTATTTGTCTTCCCCAGATAATTATGTTGGTTCTTGCTTGGAAATTAGAGGCAGAAAATATGGGCTTTTTCACAAAAGAGGAGTGGTTGAAAGGAATGACTTCTCTACAGTAAGAATTGCTTTCAGTTTTGTCCCAATGTTTTAGAAAGGTCTCGTCATGTTCTACAGCTGTGCATGTAAATCATGTGGCATAACCTAAAGCAACCCAACCCTTCATCTTCCATTCATGGCTGCTTTGTGAGAATCCTGGTTGGGCTGACATATGCCAAGCATTCCATTTTATTCATGTCTGAACTCTTTCAGGGTGATTCAGTAAAGCATTTGTGACCCTTTTCTGGCGTTATGGCCAGATTAGAAAGGCCTATGCCAAATTCATGAAAGCTGTGCGACGGTTTTCTCGTTATTTCCAATGTGTACAACGAATTCAGGTAGTTCTTATGTGCAACACTTTTATATCCTGGTGCTATGACTGCGACAAATTCATTTAGAAATATTACCATATCAGTGGTAAGAGAAGTGGAGATAAATAAGACCTCTTCCATGTTGAAATAAATTGTGTTGCACATATAAACATTGAAGGGAAGTTATCAAAACTGGAGCAGAGAAAATCTGGGGCAGCTGTGCATGGCAACCAATCAGCTTCTCTCTTTCATTTTCAAATCTTAGCTGAACAAACTGAAGAGAGAAGCTGATTGGTTGCAGTGCACAGCTGCTCCAGATTTTGTCTGCCCCAGTTTTGATGAATTTCTCCCATTGTTTACAGGCAAAATTCTGTCACAGGCAATTCTGCCACAGATTCGTATACACCTTACCGACTGTTAGATGAATCTGTCACAAGTTGCGACATTTGTTGCACAGATGGGAGGCGCATTTCTAATGAATGCCGGGATTAGTCATTTTCTTGGTACCACTCCATCATTTGGCTGTTTTTGTTCTACATAAATTATTTCCTTACAAAAATTGCACCAAAAACATTTTTCTTTTACACACGTGGCAAATGAGCTAAATTTTTGCAGAAGGTTTCTCTTATTGTATTTCTCGCTACATAAAGTGTCATTTGGTGCACCAGCTTCTGGTGCCGGGTTCTCACACTGTTTTTGGGGTGTTAACACTGTTGCTATTTTAGTTCTTCTCAGTGTCTGCAGTTTCCTGCTGGTGAAAACTGTTGCCTTCCCTAAAGTACTCCCTAACAATTAACCCTTTCCTACATGAGCCCTTGAAACCTAACTCTAGGCTGGGCCCTATACCCAGCCACTTTATTTATTTCTTACTATTTCCTGAAATCTTCTGTCTGTTTGCATGACATCAGAGGTCCACTTGCTGTCCTTGCTTCTCTGACGAGGGGCATTCTGAGTGCTGGAGAAAACTGCACCGCCTAATGACATTCTCTCCATTCCATGCAGAATTCTCCTGTAAGCCGAGAGACCGAGCACTACATATAGGATGCAGTCTAATAGTTATAACACAGCAGCTATCGGTTTGTTTTTCCTAAATCCCATGCCGGGCGGTGTGTAATGACTTGCCGCCCTGGTCCCCGATTAGCCGGGAAGCCGTCTCCATGCTCCCTCGTCACCAGGTGAAGAGGAAGCATGCAGCCGGCTTTCTGGCCAATCAGGAAGCCGGGGGGTGATTAAGACCAGCCACCCGGCTTCCTGATACTGGACGTTCCGGTATCCGGATAGGCTTTGGGAGCATTTGGGAGAGTACGGGTAGTCGCACCAACACAGATATTACAGATATTAGTATCGGTGCATCCCTGCTATATAGGCAAGGTAGAACTGTAGAAATGGCAGCCAAACATGCTCCATAGCATCAGAGGACTGTGGCAAGGAGAGCCTCCGGCATGTACACAAAGCAGGCCGTTTCTGGATGTCAGTCAGAGATGTCAGAGCTGAATGTAAAACAAAGCTGCAAAAGCTCAATCCTAAAAATATTGATGAATATCACTGTGAAAGAAAAATGTAAAATTTGAGTATCTATCTATCTATCTATCTATCTATCTATCTATCTATCTATCTATCTATCTATAGGTGTATGTATGTAATTAATAGTTTTATTTATTTATGAGAGAGTAACGGAAACAAAGATCAATAATATAAAATCAAAAATGATTTACAAATCTTGGCACTATACAAAATGTTTTGACTTGCCACTAGATGCCGCCATTTCCAAGTTGTGAACAATAATACAAGGAGGGATCACAAGGGAGGAAATAGGGGAATGCATAGCTAGGGAAACAAGTATCAATACATTTAAAAAATGTGTATATAGATTTCCCCCCCACAGTGATATTAATCGATTTTATACTTTCATTTTTGGTTTGAGCTTTTCACAGCTCCTTGTTTTACATTCGGCTCCGTGACAGCCCTGACTTGCTAAGCTGGTCCTCCTTTTTGTACCTGCTTCGTTCTGGGGTCCTCCTCAGCCTGGTCTCCTGAGGCTATGGAGTATGTTTGGTTGTCATTTATACATTTCTTATTTAAGGCCCCCAGTACTTCATCCCTCCACTCTGTAGAACGGGGTAAGGCCCCGAAACATGTCAGTTTATGCTGAAGGTATGAGTTACTTCTATCATCTAGGATACGTTTTGGTCCCCCTTCTGCTCCAGCTGGGGATGTTTTTGTATTTTGTTTCCTTTTGGTCTTTCCACGGTCCACCTCTCAGAATCCAGCGGGGCATGCAGTCTTTCCGGAGTGTTGGCGTCTGTTGGTGTGACCTGGTGTTCCTCCTAAAGTGCCTCCGGATGGTTTATCTTGATGATATGCCTTGATCAAGTAACTTTACTGCAAGTGCAATTTTATCTTTTACATTTATTAAAGTAGTTTTACCTGTACTATCCAGTAGCTCTCTTTTATGCAACACTAAAAGCATGTATATATGGCATTTGGCTGCCCACAGAGATTGCAAGAAAACAGAGCTGCATTGGTGCCAAAGAAGGTGCTATATTTGAAGCTTTGATCGGCTTTATTACCTGTTGATCCTGCCCAATAATTGCTAATTTTTTCACTTCCTGTAACAGGCTAAACTGTCCTGCAGGAGTGGATTGGGGCAAACTTTTATAGCTGGAATGGGGGAATTGAGCTTTTTGTTCTCATTCAGCCCATAGTCCTGAACAAGAAAACACTTTCTTGTAAGGCCAGCATTACATCTAAAACTACAAATCCATTAAATACTATCATATCCATAGGGTGACAACTGCTGCCTTGTCACTCTGCTAAAGGAAGAGGAAAAATCTGCCGGTAGGCCAAACAAGTAGTAAAATCTCTGTGTTCGTGCTAGTGATAGGCTACATTTGTATATGTCCCATCTAGGGATGTCCTGATACGGATACTAGTATTGGGGCTGATACAGGGCATTTTCACAAGTACTCCGATACATGGCACCTATACCGGCACTTTCATTTTTAAAATGGTTTCAGGCTGCCCAGAGGTACCGTGCTTGTTGGGGTCCTCTGGGCAGCCTGCCAGGCAGCTAAACGAAGACCTCACGAGAGCGACGGGATGACTATCTGGCACAGCGCCGAGGAACGAATGGCCACATGGGAGACCAGGGAACGGAAACCTGCACAGCGCCGCGCTCCTGTGAGTTGCTTTTGTATGTTTTGCTTTTGTATGCGGCAGCTGTGACAGGGCTGGCTGCGGGCGTGATACAGGAAGTTGGGACAGATTAGAAGAAGCAGTGAAGACATGTAACTCTATTTCTGCAGTGTACTGGTCCTGGAACTGTGTACTATGGATCATTTAACCATGAAATGATCCATAGTACACAGTACACACTTCCAGCACATTGCAGAAAGTTACAATTCTCCCCAGCTTACTTGAATAGGTTAAATCAAATGATCCATAGTATGCAGTACAAACTTGCAGTACAGAAATACAATTCTTCCCCGCTAACTTGAATAGGTTACATTTTATGTCTGCAGTGTGCTGGAAGTGTGTACTGTATACTATGGATCATTTGATTTAACCTATTCAAGTTAGCAGGGGAGAATTATCACTCTTTAAAGGATCAGGTTGCAGAAATAGAGTAACAATTCCCCCTGCTTCTTTCAATCTGTCCCACTTCCCCCAATTAAACTTGGAAGTTATGCAAAGTATTACTGATATGAAGCAATGACTGAGACATTAGATTGGATGTGGGGAAAAAAAAGAAAAAGTGCCCTAAAATCCTTAGTCTGTATTGTTTTAGAAAACAATTTCACATGTCCCTTTTAAGAAAAGTATCGGTAAGTACCTGAGGTGATGTACTTGTACTTGGTCTTGAAAAAGTGGTATCGGGACATCCCTGGTCCTATCTATTTTGCTCGTACGTCCACTTTAACCCCCTCTGCATCATCCTGGTGAAGCCCCTGCAGCAAAAGTGCATATGTCAGGGTCCCGGCACCAGAAGCTAATGGGTCAGCAACGGTGGATTATTTTGATTGTTCGTGTTGGCTGTAAGAGATTCATCTGTGATATTTGTGTGTTTTCATGCTTGTATTTAAGATGTGACTGCACAGAGAAGTTACAGAGTAAATTTGATTACCTTCGGGCGCAACTGAACGATAACACTGCCTTTAAGAATATTTACAGATATGCTTTTGATTTTGCAAGGGTAAGTACATACATCTTTGGGGAAATTGTGTCCTTGGGCAGGACAGTCCCAGTCCAGATACAGAGAGGTTACCCTGTAGGGAGTTTAGGACATAGAACACATGTTTATCTGTTGTTTTAGCTTTCAGGGGACCCCATGAGAAGGTTCTCAGCCTGTAAGGCTGACCGTATGCAATATAATAGGTTTCCCAATATAGTCCGCTTGCATTTGAGCTATAGATTGCTGACTGACAGCTGAGGGTTGTCTTAGTCTTGCATAAATCACAGGTTTACTTTACTATTAAACATTGTGAAGGAGAAGAGTTGGGAGTAAGAGGCTGGACTCGGTTTTGGGTTTAGGACTTGGACTTTTGAGTTCATTATGACTGGTCAGCTCTCATTAACCATCTAAAAATATCAGTAAATACCAAACTTCAGTGGTTATCTACAGAAGGACCTAACTTTAAAGTGTGGGCTAACACTTCATTGGGCATTAGATTGGTATCAATAGGGTGCCAGTAGGCTAATGATGTGTGCCTTACAGGCAGCCGCTGCTTTTGATGTCACTGCTGAAGTTCTGACAGCAAAACTGACCCTCAGGGCTGGATCACAGCAGGCCACTCTGCAGCTCCTCCATTCAGAAAACATCTTGTATTCCTTTCAATTGGTCTTGTGATTGGTCAAGGGGTGATGTGTGACATTCATGTGTCCCTTGTCCAAGCACGGAACATCTTGTGTGCTTTGAAAAGGATACAAGGCATTTTATGAATAGAGGAGCTGCAGAGTGAGTTACGCAGTGATCATTGTGCTGCAGCCCTGACTGTCAGTTCCACTACCAGGACCTCAGCAGTGACATCACAGTCAGGGCTGCATAGAAGAACATTTTAAAAAAAAGAACCAGCAGCCAACAGTGGGGCACACATCATTAGAGGTTCCTTTATTGGCACCTAGCTAATGCCCCAATAAAACATTAGCCCGCACTTCGGCTTTAAAGGGTATCTAAGCCGTTTAACAGTCACCTATATGCTTCCAAAAGGGTTTAAGGGTTTACATACACATATGTAGTAGACATCTTGTACTCTGTGCCGATTGGCCGGTAAGCCGGCTTCCGAGCCAATTAGCATTGAGCAGGCCAAAGAGCACGGGACCGGTTTCCCGGCCAATCAAGAAGCTGGGCAGCGGGTAATGACCCGCCTCCAGGCTTCCTTATTGGCTGGGAAGCCAGCTGCATAATCCCGGAAGTACCAGTATCGGCGAGTACTGAAAGATAAACATCGGTTCTCGTGCCCAATACCGAAAAACCGATACCGGTGCATCCCCAGTTATAATGTCCTCTGGTTTTATGTACTAGTTTGACCCAGGGGGATTGTTCTTACAACTTTCTGTAAATGGAGAATTTATGAACTGTCATAACCACATCTATGTTTTCACAATAGGACAAGGTCCAGCGGAGTCTGGACTTAGATACTGCAAAAACCATGTTGGCACTTTTACTAGGAAGAACATGGCCATTATTTTCTGTGTTCTACCAGTACCTGGAGGTAAGAGAACCCGGCTTGCTGTTTAATGTTTCTTTAGTTTGCTTTTAAGAAAGAAAACCATTTACCAGCTGCACTAGCTTTGTTCTTAAAGCTGAACGCCAGGCTAAACATTCAGATAACATACATATGGGTGCAGTTTTCTTAGTCAAAGGATTTATATTACGATCCATCCTATCCTGAGATTCACACAGCCCTGCCACAGCCAGACAAATTACACTTTTTTTCTTTTCTTTTATAGTAAATCTAGCATAGTGTAAAAGAAATGGAGTGCTGATTTCTCTCCACCCCTAGCTTACTGATCGGACAATAAAAGAGCAGAAGACTTATGAGGTTCTCTCTCTCATTGTTCTACTTTTCCCATCTATCATCGTGTTTCTTGTCAGAAGATTTTCATTCAGAACACCTCATGGACTCCCAGTCCTGCCACTCCCCTCTCCCAGTCTGAGTGCTACCATAAGATTGCAGGATGCTACTATTAAGTCGGCTATACATAACCTGCACTATTAGAATTTAAACAAATTGTATATTTAACCACGTCAGTATCTGCATGTTACACCCCCTTCATTACCAGTCCAGTTTTCAGCACAGTGCAAGTTTGGCTGATAATTCCTCCATCACACAGCACTGTAACCAAAGTGATTTTTATAAAAAAAAATTTTGTGAAATGAAGAAACATGCCGGTATTGAGGGTTTTTAAATAATGGAGCTTGGTCATAGTGCAATAGATATAATATATACGTACAGGTCACACAGAGTAGAAGGACGGAGATGAAGGGGTAGATGTGCAGGATAAAGCTGCCCACACACCTTACAATTTATCTGCAGATTTTCTGTGGTCAGATGGAAAAAGTGCAACCGATTGGCCCAGGTGGAGATTCCTCCATCCACACAGTTAAGCGTAGATGGAGGAATCTGTTGCACCTTTTCCATCTGACCATAGAAAATCTGCAGATAAATTGTAAGGTGTGGGCAGCTTAATGGAGATGGAGTTAAGATGAAGGATAATGGACACATCCGAGTAGAGATAGAATGGAGCGAACATATATTGGAGAGGGAGGGTAAAAGGGTTAAAAAAAAAAGTTTTTTTTTTTTTTGCTGCTGCAGCTTGTTTTTATTAGGAAGCAATGGATGGATGACTCGTCCATTGACTTACTTGCTTTACTTTAGTGATGTAAGAGAAAGGGGAGGACTTGGCAATGTAAATATTGTCATTTGATCACTGTGATAAGCTGTCGCAGCGTTCACAAGAAAACAGCCGGTCCGATCAGCTGTTTCTAAAGTCGCTGTTCTCAAGTGTCTAATGGGAGCAGGGGCCGCGTGCACCCACCTGTTCACAGGAGGACATACAGGTGCATCCTCCCAGGACAATGCACCACCACACCAGCTGTTTTAATAGTGGTCTGCAAACGGTTAAAGATGTATTAATAAATACATAGCTGCAGTCAGTTGCGTATTTTATATCTACTTGGGAGTTCAGCTTTTAAAGTGCACCTATCGGTTTCATTCCAGAGCAACTTTTTTCCCCTCTATTATATTGTATTCATGCAGTTCAGTGAATCAATGCATGTTAAATAAACGTAGACATGTTCTGACCTTGATCCGTGATAAACATGTTTTTTTCTAGTTTTCATGTATGTAAGAGTTGTAGAATCTGGAAATAACAAGTGCTGAGATGAAGTTTTGTCTTGTGTTTCGACAGCAGTCCAAATACAAAGTAATGAACAAAGACCAGTGGTATAATGTATTAGAATTCAGCCGGACCGTTAATGCCGAACTTAGTAACTATGATGAAGATGGGGCCTGTGAGTACATTTATATGTGCAATTTAAAATGAAAAGATGATGTAAAAAATAAATGCCTTTTAGGGGTAGAAAAAAAAAATGTTGACAGTGATTTGTGTAAAGCGCATTTTTACGTGAAAATGTAAGTAACCTTTCTTGCTGCAAGTTTACAAGAGATAGAATGCATGTACCCCACCTCACCCAGGGCTGTTTATTTAAGTGACATACTGGGCCTGATAAACTATAAGGCCTCATTCACACTGGCCATATGCGTCTATGCGGCATGCACGCCTGTAAACAGCCGATCCCGTGAGGGACAGCTGCGGCATGTGACTGCGCGCAGCAGCCTGTTCTTCCCTATCGGAGGATGCTGCGGTATGGTGTCATACGAACATCCGTGCAGGTACGGGTATCCGCACTTGGACGCAGACAGGATCCATCCTATGTGTGTCCAGGTGCGGACACCCGTAGGGATGACACCGTACAGACGCGTCATCCCATAGGGAAGAACAGGCTGCTTTGTGCAATCGCACGCAGCACATGTCCCTCCTGGGATTGGCTATTTACGGGCGTGTACACCCAGTGTGAATGAGGCCTAAATGTGCACAGCGCCTCTAAAATGCAGAGGTTGCTCAGGGACATGTGTTCTATTAGGCGCATATTGCAGTTTGACTGCACCCCCACACAGTGGCACTGTACAGGGAGTAATATAGCAAGCTATAGCAGCCGACTTTCTCTTCTCCTCTCTCCTGTAGGAAGTGATCACCAGTGCAGGCACATATCTACAAAGAGCTGCCTTCTCCCTTCTGCTCAGCTAGGCAAACTTCCCCCGTTTAGTCTCCCTCTGTTAAGCGGCTGTATAGAACCTTATCAGAGGGAGCCCACTGTTATGCAGACCTGTGGCTAAGATCTACGCTACAATGTAGTGCAGATATTCCTTTATAGGACATTCCTGCAACAAATCGCAATTAGCGATTTTTCAGGATTTGGCACATTTGAACACACATTTGTGACAAATGCGGCAAAAAAAAAAGTAAAAACAATTATATAGGGCCCACTGACTTTTGGAACTCCCAATAGTGCAATAATCTTTATAGATATCCTAGATCTTTCATCTCATAGTGTGTGCATTACAAACCTAGAGGATGGGGTCAGGTTCCTCAGAAAGATTATCCACAATAAAGAAGGCAGGTAATTGGGATTTCCGTTCCGAGAATTACATCTTGTGTTATAGCTTTGTGGCAGTCGGTGGAGACACAGATGGTTAGAGAAAAAATATAAAGGGTAATTCCAGTTTCTCAGCAAATGTGTGAAAATGAAATTGACCCCACAAATGTGTGTTCCTCTTCTATTGGTCATACCTCTGTACAAAGTGTCCTTTCCACCTGCACCCCCCAAGTAGTCCCGTTCATACGCCGTACACATAACTGCAGCCCTGTACTGAGCATCATTTTGAATTACGCTCGCAAATGGGCGAGCACTTACTGGTCAGAACGGTTGCCTGACCACGCTTCTTGCTAGGTGGTTGTGGCACGGTCACGTTGACTTTAAAGTATATGTTTGGCAAGCGACACCACATCATAGCTGCAGCAATGTATACGGGCTTGAACACCCACCATGTTTATTTGTAGTGGTGGGGCGGGATTGGGGGATGCCATAAAAACACACTTTGTGTGAACTTAGTCTTACTGTTTGTTAGGAATATGTAAACACTTTTTATGTCCATAGTCTGGCTACTAGTTCAATTTAGGGTGACCTTTTAAGACTGAAAAAGAGCAAATAGAGAAACTAGTGGAAAGGAATGTGGAATTGTTGGACACAATAACTAAACCGCAAGATTTTGCGACTGCAAAGTGTGAATACTGTAGGCACCTGCTAATGTATCCGTCTAAATCCTTTCAGGGCCAGTTCTTCTCGATGAATTTGTTGAGTGGTATAAACATCGTCAGTCGTTATAGCAAGATCTCGCCTGGAAACAAATATGAACTTTCAGATGTCCCACAAGCCCTAAACATGAAGTGTTTGAAGAATACTCTCGTCTTTGCCGAAGCCTTCAAAGTCTTGTCCGCGCTAATAAAATCCACAGCAGACTGACCTTTGCTGTTGGCTTGAATGACTTTTATCAAGAAACGCAATTCTGGATTAAAAAACAAAACATGTCTGTGTTTTCCCCGGGCTTCACACACCAACCAAGCCCTACTTTCTGTGTTTGTCTTATTTTCCTCTCTGTTTCATTGGCCAAAATGTGTATACTTATTGGAACCAAGCAGAATTACAAGATATGTTTTATTTATATAAACAATAATTTTTAGTTTTCAAATGTTCTCCATTGGTTTAAGTCCAATCTAATTTCTTTTTCCTTTTTTACCAATTTCAGACTAAAATCAGAATACCTTGTTATTGCACCAGCAGTACAGTTCCAACACATGGTAACAATAGTTCTCTTTGAAGCTATATGACATAAAGACAACAGACAGTTGTTGTGTTTTTACTTGTCAGTATCGGTGCTGTGGGTCCACTGACAGCTGGAAGATAGTTGTGGTCATTAACAAATGCTCAAACATTTAGAATATTCTTCAGAATTTGAGTGTTGAGAGCTGCTGATGTTGGGCAATTGCTGGTTCTTAGGATATCTGTTACCCGCTTGAAGGGGTCATGTGTTTTTTTTTGTTTGTTTGTTTTTTGCAAATCTCAAAATTCCATGTCGCTACCTCCATAAAACTAGCAGATGTTTGAAGGTCATGCCCAATCTTTACTTTTATCTACGACTTCGTTTTATCACTTTGAGTCCCGTCGTCTGATGACGTTTATAGTCTCTGATATCCGATCGAATGCTTTTTACCACTTAAAGTGTAACACTGCCTTTCTGAGAAATGTGACACTGTGAGATAGGACAGTGAAATCATTACCTTTTTGTAAGTAATAACCATTACCAATTATGGCTCTGGGCGCATTTGAAATATCCATTGTGCCAAAACTAGAACGTTACAGTTTTGCTTGTTGCATGGGGGTTTGACTACAACTGTTTCCAGTTACTGGTGTTCTATCGAAACGGCCAACTCATCAAGATCTCCAACTCGTTACATCACGTCAAGTGACTTGCCAGTAGGAGATTTCGACAAGATGGCGCTGGTGTGCGTCAGAATCCTTCTCCAGTTATCCAATTCCCGTCAGTGCGGCCTCACAATCCATGCAGGTGCACCAACTCCCGTTGGTGCACCTGTGCAGCCACACGAGCAGAATCAAGTCCTTCAATTAACATTACTGCGCCTACATGTGCCCAACATGAAATCTGTTAGCAGAAGATGCTCTCTGATTGGCTGCCTTTGCAAAGACGAGGATTGTGAAACCGCACAGGTGCACTGATGGGAATTGGAAAACTTGACAAGGTTTCTGAAACTGCTGCAGCTGGCACACGCGCACTAGCGTCACCTCGTACAAAATCTCCTACTGCCAAGTCACTGGACATGATGTAACCAATTGGAGATCTTGACAAGTTGGCCATGTCGTCAGAACACCAGCAATGTTCATGGCTTAATGATGAGCAGCATTGCCTCTAATTAAAGAATGGGTATTTCAAGCGCTGGCGCTGACCTTTTTGGAATGATGGGTAATATTTACTGTGGAAGTTTTCTCTGTCTCCCCTTAAGCTATAAAATATGCCATAAAAGAGCAGCACTTTAATGAGCAACAAACATCTGCCTCATGTGGATGCAGCACATGTATGCCGTTTTAGTCTCGGATTATTACATGTCTTTGGTTGTTTTCATATCCGAAGCTATAAGCGGGTCAAGATCCGTTCTGTATATTACTCTCTAATTCATTGTTCAATAGAACATCCCTTATTACCAGGATTTTGTTATCCGCCTTCTACACTGGTGTTCTCTGTCTGTGACACAAGTGTTGAGCCTACTTGTCATTAAAGATCCCCCTAGTTTGCCAAACCGTTCTTCCAGTTTCCTTTATATTTATTGTGTCTACCGAAAAGAAGAACATTTCACTGTATGCTGAAGATAGTCCAGTTACCACTGAAATTTTGGAGTGGGTTCAAAGTGAGATGAAATGGGACATTTCTGCTATACTCGCTCTTAACTTTTTTTTTTTTTTTTTTCCTCACTAATGTCATGTTAATTGTCCAGTTGTTTATTGAGTTTACATGCAACATTAAAGATCTTGTTTTTGGAATCATTCATGTCTGTACTGGTTTTTCTTTATCCCCCCATTCTTAAGGTCTAAACTTTTTATTGATTGCCTGGCCCAAAAAAAAAAAAAAGTCACACACCTCTTATATTTTTTTGGACCTCCTTTAGCGTTGATTGTGTCATGCATTTGCAGTGACATCGTTTCGTAAGCTTATGTAATGTTGCAAAATTTATTTCCATCCAGCGTTGCATTCATTTTTCAACAAGATCTTGTAGTGATAATAGGAGAGTCAGACCACTGTGTAAAGTATTTTCCAGCACATCCCAAAGAATCTTAATGGGGTTAAGGTCTGGACTCTGTGGTGGCCCATCCATGTGTGACAATGATGTCTCATGTTCCCTGAACCACTCTTTCACAATTTGAGCCAGATGAATCCTGGCATTGTCATCTTGGAATATGTCCAATGTGACAACAGGGAAGAAGAAATCTATTGATGGAAAAACCTGGTCATTATATTCCAGTAGGCAGCGGACATGTTTTGAGCTTATAATGTTGCTAAATCTAGACCTATTATCCAATGACCTATTTGCTTAGGTCATGCAGTGTATGTGTGTGTTCACAGTCACGTAAGATCTTCAGTGCCAATACCAACCGAAGAAATCACTTGACATACAATATTGTCAGCAAGCACTTTACAAGGAGTGCGCAACCTCTTCCACAGACCACATCAAAAACGAAAAAGAGGTGCCTTTCTCTCGTTTAATAATGTATAATAAAGCAATTTTTATTGTATAAAAACATCCATATACAGTGGTACCTCGGTTCACGAACGCTTCTTTTCGGGAACAATTCGGTTCGCAAACATTTTGCTTCTGTTCACGAACTCCGCATCGGGTGACGAACAAAATCACAGCCATCATCCCTGCTCTGACAATGGTCGTGGCTTCCTCTAGTCGAAATTGCGGTCTGATCACAGTTTGATTCAATTCGCTACCAGAATCGTGGAACGAATTAAGTACGTGAACCGAGGTACCACTGTAAACTTTCCCATTATGAAAGCCAGAAGGAAATGCTGACGAGAGACCCAGTTCACATGCAGCAGCTGGACTTGCAGGCTATTTTGGCTGAACATGTTTTCGGGGACATGTCCCCTTCTTCAGAGAGTGTATGTGTGTAAATATATATAAAAAATATATAATTAGGGCTGTTACTGATTACAATTTTCGTGTTCGATTAATTGAAATTTTTTTTAATCGATTTAATTTTGATTTATTATAATGCACATATATTAGTCCCAGGGGTAGCCACCACACTATTTGTAAGGTAAACGCCTGGTGCTCACCCACAAAGATATCCTTCCACATCTGAAGTGGGTATAAAGCCATTCACGGGTCTTGCAGTGGAAATAAGCCAGAACATCAGCATTTTATTGTCAACGTATCAATGAAGCTCAATCCATCTTCATCAAGACATTAGAGTCTTGATAAAGATAACCTGAGCTCTGTCGAAACATTCAAAATTCTTGAGAGAAATGTTGGTGCCGCCAATTTTGCCTGGCTGTCTATTCATTAATAGGCCTGGACCTAGTATGTAGAAAATAAATACAAGAAATATAATTTATATGCAAGTATTGAAGTCAGAGCATCAGTCAGACAATTGGCATTTTCAAAAACAGGTCAGAAACAACAGCTTATGTATTTTTCTCTTTCAAGGGAGAGAGTAAGAAACATTCTAATAGTATGTGCACAGAGTGCAAAGAACATATCCAATAATGCACAGTGAATAAAAAAGAAATATAATTATTGTCTTTATTCAAGGATTGCAGTCTATGAAGGTTACACTGAGCTAAATATACACAGCAAGGAAGTGAACATACTCTGATAATGCTATTCTTCAAAGAATCTTTATCAAATAAAATCTATATAATATGGCAATTTATAGATTGTAAAATGTAGGGAGAAATCAGTATTTATCAGGAACTGCTTTTTAACTTAAGTAAAATGAAAACAAAAAAACACGAGGTAGGGTGACCATATAATTCATGCAGCTAAAATATTCCAGCCTGTAATTATAGTGGTGGTGTTTCGTATGTTTTGACAGTGTGCACCCTGTGAGATGTTTACCACTAGATGTCTCTGTAGTCCGTTTAAAGAAACATTTGTCTTTCTCATTCACTGAGGGAAACTAGAATTATTTGGCTGCTGGGTTATACAGCTGTCTGCAGGGCAAATGTGCAATGGCAACACAAGACATTAGCTTGACATTAGATAATACCACCCACACTCAACATGTTATTTGCTTGTATCCTCAGGGGAGTGGGCATGCTTTCTTAAACTCTCAACTTTGGCTTTAAACTTGTGACAGATATCTCTGGTTCCTCTGTTTGGGGGGGGGGGGGGGGGGTTCAGAGGGCACCTCCCTGAAATTACTTTTTTCAGGTTGGGATCCCTGCTTCTGTGAATTACCAGTTTTGTTCATGGAGAGGGAGCTTGGATGTAGTGCTTTGCCTTAGATGCCTTCATCGGTGCCATAGCCACCATTTATTTCTACTGTGGATGGCAGTTGGTGACGCACCTTCCCAAAGGTGTCTGGGTATGCCCACACACAGGAGGGCCACTGGTCAGGAGATCATAGGCTATTTTGCGCACAATAATGTATAATAAAGTACTGATTTGCTGCTATCTTGTCTATACTGATCCTTCCTAAGCGCCCCCTGATGGATGTTACACACTTCTATTGACAGCTTCTTTTTGAGGACTCACTGATTGAGTTACCCTCCACAAGCTTATGATAGCCTTTTGCATACTACTGCTTATAGCCTTACCACAGCTCGTTAATAATGGTCATAACTGATGTTCCTAGAGCATTGCTTACAGTGATGTAAATGCGGCTGATTAAACATCTCTGGCTTGGATCCATGAGTATTCCTGGGGAATGG